GAGACTGGGGAAAACCGGGAAATTAGGGGACATGCCCACAGCCCACAGTTAGTAAAAGTGGACCTGGCTCTCAGTACTACGTTGTTTCACGTGATAGACAAGAGTTACTTTATAAAGATCAAGGGCAGATAAAGTGTTTTGAAAGCAAAAAACCAAGTGTGGGAGGGGCTGGATGATACAAATACAAGTCACAGCTCCCTGGCCGTGACTGAAGGGGCATTCCTAACCCCCTGAAGAGCACCCTGTGGAACCTGGCCACAGAATCAGAGGCCTCTAAGATGGAGTCTTTGTCCTCCCCAGTGTCCCTATGGGCAGGAATGTTATGACTAACCTAATTCTTCAGGTGAGACCAGAAAACTTGAGCAAGGATGACCAGCTCAGGCCCTCAGTTGGCAAGGGAGCAGGCAGGCAGAAGCCAGCCCCCGGGCTCCTAATGGACGGGACGGTGACGATAAAAGGCCCATTTGTGTCAAGGTGGGGCCCCTCCAACCAAAATTTAAACATTTTAATGTAATACTAAAGTACATCTTTTCTAACCTTAAAAACAAATTTTATTTCAGTACTCATTGGTCAATATTCAGTTCTAAATGTAACTGATCCTCCCCCAGTTCCCAGAAAGCTCTGTATAGGACATAGCTCATGGTTACAGACAACAGAACTAATGGTGGTTAGTACTGCCAGAAATGGGTCTCTATAGGAGGAGGATACTGAGTAGATCAAAAGGCTGTATGGGACTATTAAGGTTCAAGGCTGACTAGCCAGGAACAATGCCTCAAATGCACCTTAGAACTGGGCCAAGAACAAAATCCTTTCTTCCTACAGTGGCCTGCAAGACTGGGCACCAGCCCCTCCGCACTCTGCAGCCTCTGCTCCTCCCACTCTCCTGGCTCCAAGTGTACGGGCCTCCGTGCTCTATACCCAAACAATTCCAACCCAGGCCTATAAACGTGCTCTTCCCCCTGCCTGGAACATACATGCACATCAGGGCTTGCTCCCTGGTTTCACCCAGGTTTCTGGTTTCTTCCTGGACCACCCTGGCTCCATCCCCTCTCCCGGCCTCACTCTTCCTCTTCATACCACTGCCCCCGGACATTGTCTTCAGTGTGGTCCGACTTCCAGGTCAGACCTTAAGCTCCATGAGAGCAGGGACTAGGGTTGCTTGCTCGTTGCCGTAAGCCCACTACCCACAGTGGTGCCTGGTACATTTTAGGTGCCTGAGTATTTGCTGAATGCTCTGTGAAGGAATGAACAAACGAATGAGTGGAAAACCTTGGGAAAGCAAGTCCCCATGTTCTCTTGCCAGAGCTGGAGGATTAGGGAAGTAACAGAGTCAGCCTGCGCCATGTGGCCACAGCTGTAGTGCACCCTGCCCAGATCACAATTAGCCCTGCAGCTCCCACCACGGAGGGAAGCCTTGCCTGGGGGCCCAGAGCTCCAAAACTCCCCCGGCAGTCTTTGCAGCTCTTGGAACCTGCCTGGACTGCTGCTGAGCAGACCAACGAGGCCTGGCTGGGTTCCTGCTTTTCCAGGGCTTTAGATAGGCTGCAGTGACTTGGCCGAGGTCCCTTTCCTCCCCTACCGCTTCAGCAACTGCAGTTCTGGATAGATTCATAGGGCCACACAAGGTCAGAGCTGGGGGAAGCCTTGGTGATCTGAAGACTACTCTGTGCCCTACAGATAACATAGGCCAGGGCAGGGATGAGCGTGTGTGTGGACTCTGGGGTCTGGCAGATCCCACCTCCACCCACTGTGTGACTGTGGAAGAAGCACCTCTTTTCTCAGGTGGAAAATGGAAAAGCCCCTACTTCAAACAGTAAGCTCGTCCTCCTGTTCAAAAGTCCTTACTTCCTATTCACTATGATATCAAAGCCAAACTTCTTGGCTTGGTAGTCCAAGCCTGCTGCTCCCAAAGTCTGGTCAGCGCAGCCTACTGAGGGGATCTGGATGGGCTCCTACCCCTTCCCACACCTGTGTGCCTGGAGCCCCACCGCCTCTCTTCTCCCACCTAAGTGCCCCCGGGGTAGGTAGGCCTCACGAAGCCTTCGTGACTCAGGCTTGTTGGGGACTCACAGCTGCACGCTCAGTGGCATCACTAGCGCATAGGAGCTGGAAGGGAACAAAGTTTTGACTCTCCGACCAGAACCTGGGATCCTTGAGGACAACTGTCTCTTCTCTTCTCGCCCTACCAGGTATTGACTGGATGGTACATAAACATTCCTGCTAACTGATTCACCCGAAGTTAGAATTCAGTTAAAATGCCCCACATACTCCCCCTATTTTCCAAGGCAAGGAAAATAGAAATACAGAAATAAATTAAACTGAAGACAAACTCAAATCACTCCTATTTCTCTGCAAAACAAAATCATCTGTATCTGTAACCCAGACTTCACAAGTGGAGGAACTCCCTAAAAACAGTGCATAAAAAGCTAATCAGAAGAACTAGCCTCACTTAAAGATTTCAGGAAGGAAAACACAGTTAAACTGAAAACTGTTAAGTGGTGTTTAAAAAGAAATACAACAAACAGCCCGGAAATGTTTTTAGGACTGTGTCTATCAAAGTCCCTTGGGGGCTGATTTGTCCTTTATTATACTCTTAACACCTGCTTTTACTGAAAACCAACAGCCCGACACCAGAGCTTGGTGAGTAAGAAGCAGAGTGAAACTGGACAGGGAGGAGCTCAGCTGTGAAGCGCCACCCAGGTAACAAGCCACAACCACACTGAGCATGGCCAGCCAGTCTCCGGGGCTACCCAGGCCACGGAGAGGCTGCCCAACAGCAGACGGGGGCCCCTGTTCCCCCAGCTCCTGCTGCGTTGCTCCTCTCTCTGGTCCGCATCCCCACCTCCCCCACCCACCTGTGAAATATGTCAGGAGAAGACTCCTCATACAAACCTGCACCAGAGCTAATTCCACAGTATTTCAAGAAAGGCCTCAGGGACAACACATACTTCTTTCTTCTGGTTTTTCTTTTCTTTTTATTTTTTAACAATGTTAAAAGACAGAACTTGGAAAACTCAAATGATACAAAGAATTAGATCTATCTAATTAGGTAGTTATAATCTTTTTGAATACAACTCCATCTGTACACAAAGATATTGTTCCTTTACATTTCAAACAAAATCAACTCAGTTCTCTTCCTCTCTGATGTTTAAAAACTGGACTTGCTCATTACAGCTGACAGTCACGTAACGCAGTCAGTCCACACAAACACCTGTGCACGAAAAGATTCATAGCATTGTTTATCATAGCTGATGCATGGCAACAGCCCAAGAGCCCAGCAGACGAGGAGAGGGAGAGTGGACCGTGGCATGCCCACCCCGCAGAACATTATTCAGCAATGAAAAGCAATGGAGTCCTGACCTGCTACAACACAGGTGAGCCTTGAAAACATCGTGCTAAGGCAAAGAAGCCAGACACAAAAGACAACACATTTTATGGCGCTATTTATACGATATGCAATATAGGCAAATATTCATACAGAGACAGAAAGTAGATTAGTGATCACCAGAGGCTGGGAAAATGGGAAGACTGGAGAGGTCATAATTAGGGGTACAGAATTTGGGATAATGAAAATAGTCTAAAATTGACTCTGGTGAAACTTGTACAACTTTGTGAATATACTAAAAACCGCTGACTCGCACATTTTAAATGGGTGAATTGAATGAGAATTATATCTCAATAAAGCTGTTAAACAAATTAATTTTAAGATTTAAAAAGGGCAAGGAGAAAATATCCCACGATCACAAATTAGAGACGGGTGTGGTGAGAGAGGTGCTGTTGTGTAAATCTTTCTGTTTGAAACATCTCCAGTTAATGTGTACTTGAGGCGTTATGTCATGACTGTCTAGAGAACAGGTGTCCCAGAGCGGTATTCAGCAAGGCAACCCAGGACAATAGACAGCTTTTCTTTCACTGGTGATAGTTTTAACTGTAATATTTTTAAACATTCAGGTATCAGCAGGTACTTACAAGTGACCTGGTTTATGAAATAACTGGTTTTGACAACAATTAAGACCTCAGTTGCCTCAGTTATCAGAACTAAGCTGAGACAGAGTCGTGCTCAGGGGCTGAGAGAGAGAGAGAGAGAGTGTGTGTGTGTGTGTGTGTCCTCAAGCAGGTCACCAAATCTGAGCACAGACAAAGACTTTTCCAATTTGCAAGTCAAACTTCTTCAACTTATGGGTCTTAGGCCCTTCAAATGAGCAGCCCAACTGCCTTTCATGAACTGGGACACACAACGATGCGCATAAAGCAAACAGTGCCAGAGGCAAATTGTACCCGGGTGTGCCAGCGATTCAGATTCAATAAAATAGGGAAGAAAACAGTATTATGTGAAGTTAGGACAATAGAGATGGGGTTTGTCTGGGGATTATAACATTTCTCATTAATTTCACTTTGCTCCTTTTTCAGGTATACAAGGACAAATGTGATTTGTCTTCTACCCATGGGTGGCCTGTCTCATTCTTGTGGGGCAAAGCTGCAGAGACCTTGGGCCACCACCCTGGTGGGCTACATCTCTGCTCTGTAGGTAATTTACTGCGAGCCTTGGTTTGCATATTTGTAACAAAGGATTAATAATAATACCAGGTTTCTGTGGAGGCTGTATGAGTTGCAGGTGTGGAGCATAGTGCCTGACACACAGGCTTGGGTCGATCTGGCACAGGCTGGGGTGAAGGGCAAGCACCAAGTTCCCTGCAAAGAGAGATCTGTGCCCTGGGGTGAGATGTTACAGGATCCTTGTCAGGCGGGGCCCTAAGGGGTTTGCAGCTAAGGGAGGGACATCACCAAACCCAGCAGGTACTGCAAGTCAGGGAGGGTCTTGGCTAGACCCTTTATCAGAACACAAAGAAGTGGTACAGTTGCTCTTTTAGCATTAAAGACAGAAACTTTCCTTATTCCCAAATATAAAACTTGGAATTATTGTCTGTTGAGGGCAAAACTAACAAAGGGGGCTGAAACAGAATGTAAACAATTCCCACTCAACTGCTCAGATTACTGACCATGGAATCCATTTCCTTGTTTCTTTGCCTTCCAGCCTTGGGACTGCATACGGTGTGGAGAAGCCCGGGGCGTGCTGCCATCTGCAGGCAGAACAAGAAAAAGCATAAGTTAGAGCCCAAATCTTACTCATCTGAAGCCCCCAGGCCTGCGTCTGACCTCAGGTAGCTGGGAGACCTGGGTCTTGTCCCAGTGAAAGTCAGAACTTACTCGGTTCTGTTTGGCATCCCACCACAGAGTTACAACAGACACAGCCAGTAAAAATTCGAAACCATTAAGGGCTCAGGTATTTAACAACAATGGCAAACTCTTACATAGGGCTCACTGTGTGCCAGACACTGCTCTACATGACTTCCTTTTATTAACTTATTTAGACCTCATGAAGAATATGAATAAATATTTTAGCAGGTCTCTGACAATCTGAGCACCCTGGAGACCATTCATTCCCAGATACTTGTCAAACGCCTGTTATGGGCCAGACACTGCTCTAGGACCAGGGATGGAGGCGTGAACCCAAAAGACAAAGTTCCTGTTCTCGTGGCGCTTCCATTTGGGGGGGAGGAGGCAGCAGGAGCAAAGGTGGCGAATGCTGTGCAGAAACCAAAGGGGTAAAGCAGACGGATGGTGATGACAGTGCTGTTAATAGTCATTCATTTATTCACTTATCACCAAGTACCTACTAGCCACCGACCACAAGCCAGGCACTGTGCTGGACACAATGATGGGCAAAAATTAGACGTGGTCACCCCTATGTATTTACTCACACAGAGAAAACACATATTGATTCAATGACCATCTACATAAATGCAAAGATGTTAACCTGTGGTATGACAGAAGAATGGCACAGGTCCCTAGGAGAACATCCCAGGGAGGCCTGACCTTGTCTGGAACCCCAGGAAGGCCTGGGATGGAGCGTGGGGAGAAGCATCCCTGGTAGAAAGTGCGTCACATGCACAGGCTGGCTCCAGACAGCACACTAGAAGCGGGTGGGCAGAGAGGAGGCAGGGGAGACTGAGAAGGGGCATAGCAGCCCTGGCACAGGCCTCCCAGCCAGGAGCCCTCAACTCCTGAGAACTGGGGCACCAAACGAGGGCTTTAGGCAGAAGAGTAATGTGGTTGGATGTGTGTGTTTTTAAAAGATTACAGTAAGTAGTAGGCTGATCAATGACCCTGCCAGGGATGCTGATGTCTGAATCCCCAGAATCTGTGAACATGGCCCTTACGTGGCAAAAGGAACACTGCAAGTGTGATTAAGTTAGGCTTTTGACGCAGGGAGATTATTCTGGATTAGCCAGGTGGGCTCAGTGGAATCATAAGTGTCCTTACAAGAGGGGGGGGAAGGGAGATTTGACTACAGAAGAGGAAAGTCTCAGCGATGCAGCGTGAGAAAGGCTTCATGAGTTTAAAGAGGGACGAAGTATCTGTGTGCCAAGGAATGCAGGAAGCTGGAAAAGGCACGAAATTATTCTCTTCCAGAGCCTCCAGAAGGAACACAGCCTTGCTGAAACCTTGATTTTAGAACTTGTGACCTTCAGAACTGTAAAATAATAAATCTGTAATATTTCAAGCCACTAGTTTTGTGGTAATTGGTCACGGCAGCAATAGGAGACTAATACACACTGGCATCTGTGAGAAAACAGACTAGAGGCAAGGGGAAAGGGAGGCAGGGGCCCGTCAGATGTCAGCGTGTTACCCGGCAAGAGATGCAAGAGCCGGAACCACAGCGGCGGAGGGGAGCTGGCCGGTTAAGGGCCTGCTGCACCCTGGCAGATGCTGCTGGAAGGCCACGGCAGGCCTCTCTCAGGCACAGGACCTGGATGGCTTGCTCTGCAAACAACCCAGCACCCTCTGTAGAAGGACACTCATCCTAGAGCCATACGACCACTGCCAGACAGGGACACCATTTACTTGCTTAACAGGGACCTGCCAGCCCTGTTCCCACAAAGGAGTCCAGGGTTTCCAGGAACAAACTCTAAGAAGTAACATCCTGAGAGATTCTACTGGGAAAAGGTAGCAACTGTTTCTGCCAAACATTAGGCCTTGCACTGAACATTTTTTTCTTCCTTACAGAGAGATTTTGTAACCCTGAAAAGGAGGTGTCCAGGTTTAAATAAACGCATCTCCAACTCAGGTGATGCAGAACCATGACTATAACCAACATGTAGATGTAATCATGGTCATTCACAATCAGTAGAATAATGCAGAAATTAAAGAAAGAGAGTAAGTGAGAAATAATGAGACCCTCTCAACATTTACTCAATTCCTATTTAATGATCCAGACCTACTGAAAAAGGGTGATCTGAATTTGGTCCTGCCTACCAGGGCTGTTGAGAAGAAAAGGCAATAAAAGTGATTTCAAAGACTTTTACATACATTCTCCCTATTTTTCTCCAAAAGAATAAATGTGCACCAACTCTGGCCAAGTACCTGGGTGTGTGCTGAGGGGCGACAAGGAGGCCCCAGGCGTTATCCTCCAGTGCCTTTGCAGCAAGCCACAGGGACCTACTAGACTCTGGAAACATACTGGGGACCCAGGAAGTGCCTGCAGATGGCCAAGGACCAGGCATTCCTGTTAGGATTGGAACAGATTAATTAAAAAATATCAGACATATGTATATATTGTTTTTCTGTGAAAAAAGGTTTTCTGTGACATATGCTTATAATTGCAAAACAAAATCTTCTATAGTCCCAACCATCAGAGATACCTTATTTAAGAATATTTTCTTCCAATTTTTTCCCCAATAATTTTAGTATATCTATATCTGTATTTCTTTTTAACAATAGTGGGATACTGTGCATATTTTTCTTCTGCAACCAGTTATCTAGCAGTATGTAATTTTTCCATGCCACTAAGAATACTTTGTTAATAGCTGCCAATATTCCATCATAGGAATACATTCCAATACATAGGAATAGAAATAGAAAAATCAATTAGCCATTCCTGTATTGCTGGACAGCTGAGTGGTAATGGAAGTCACACTAGGAGGAACAGCCCTACATATAAGAATACACTCATTTAAAATCTGTGTTCAAAGCTCTGATTATTGCTTAGGATCATGTTTCTCACACTTCAGTCATCCATATATTACCATTACTATTTCGCCATGATTAAACACTATCTGTACCATACTTACCATTTTTCTCTAAATCAACTCATTTCTGCCATGAAGTAAATGTGTTTTAAAAGCAAACTTTATTTAGTATATTGAAAATGGAAAATCAGCATCATATGTTATAAATGCAATGGAAAACAAAACAGCAAGGTAGAAATAGAGCTAAGATATCGCTCTCGCTTTGCTCATTATTTTGTATCAGAGGGAGCTTAGGAGGCCTTATAGGGATGGTAAAGACATCCTAGCGCCAAGCTGATCTCCTCCTTCCCTTGCTCAGAAGATTGGAAAGGAACAGAGCAGGGAAGTAACTTTCTCACTATGCGAGTCGCGTGCGATAGTGCTGCCAAGTGCTCTGCCTCGAATCACCTCACACCACTCGGAATAATCTCACACAGGAAACAAGTCTTCGGATATACTGCTGGAATTGGAGTTATTGGGATAAAAGGTATGAGCACTTTGGAAAGCTTCTGAAAAAACACCATCCAAGTTAGTTTCACCACAGTTCTACTATCTAAGAAAGTGCCCGCTGTACTTCATCCTCAAATACTAAGTATTATATAGAAAAACGTTAAAATGTTACCCTTTTTAGTGTAGGATATTCAGCAGCTGAATTTTCAAAGCTATGCTCATACTCCTCTAGCCAGTCTCTGACACTGGGGCAGGGCCATTATGTGAACCTTCAGTTACTGGTAAGTTTACACAAACTGACATTACACTTGGTTTAACCAAGCTAAAGTAAACTCAGTAAAACATGAGGAAGTGACTGTAGCATTTGCAAACATTTCAGAGCGTTTTTGCGCCAGCAAAGGTCAAATGAGGATCAGAATAGCATGGATTCCTAAGTATATTTTGAGAAGTAAGAGCCAAAGAAGCATTACTCATGGACACAAATCACTACAAATTTTCAGTAAGCCAATGAAAACTCTCAAAGAAACATAGGTATAAGCCTTCCCATCCTGGTGTGACAGGCAACTGAACAAATAGGTTAAAGATTAATACAACTGTTAATAAAAGGTTTCTAAAACAGAAAATGAAAAGTATTATTTTGAAGTATGAAGAGTTAGTAAAATAGGAAGTGTCCAGATCATTTTAACAATTCCTGGGCAGATACCACGTGCATATGCACGTGGGGGAAAAGTGGCACAGTAGAAAGGAATTAAAAACACACACTAAAAAGTTTCCTGTGTTTGGAAGGATATTAGAGATTCTGATTCATTTTTGGCATTTATAGGAAATATGATTTATCTATGGCTTATTAAATTAATGAGGGCTTCTACAAAGGATTCTAAGTCACTAAATACAAAGAAAGAAGGAAGGAATGGAGACAAAGACACCTTGATGAATCCAGAAAAGGTATAAGCAAAAAGAAAGAAAAACTCCTGATAAATATATGGCAAAATAACATGGCAGAAATAATGTTTTACTTATCAGTGATCAAAATAATAAACAAATTAAATCCATTGCTAAAAAAAAAAAGACTTTCAACCCAAATACCCATTAATGGAAAATGGATAAATAAATTATTAATAATCCACTTTAACAGATGTATGGGTGTCTCTGTGAGTGCATGTGTACACTACAGAAAGAGGCCATGACTTACCTAATTTAGAAAGTTTTAGAAACTTTATAAGCAGAGAAAAGGGTCCAGAAAAACACCAATCTGGTAGCTGTGGTTGCCTATAAAGAGTGAGATTACAGGAGACAGGAGTGGACTTTTCTATCTCACTTTATGAATGTCTATTATGAGTATCTACATTGTTTGAATCTACTATATAGGATGCAACCAGAGAAACAATAAATGAAATAATATATATAAATATATGGGTAGAATTAATGAAATAGAGGACAAAAAAATAAAGGTAGCTAACAAAACCCAAAGGCTTTCTTTGAAAATAGGCAAACGTCTCTGGAGACTATCAAAAATAACTGACAGAAGATGGACCCAAAAAAAGACGAAATGACAAATATAG